TTTGTTTCAGTGGTTTGGTGGGGTCTGGACTGGTTTGGTGGATCGGGTCAGGGAATCTGGCCACACCTATGCCAGCTTTTGTTCCAAAAAATCTGAACCGTGTTCTGACTACAAGTCAGTGGAGGCTTGTGCCTGCGCCAGTGTACCCATAGAACCTGGGCCCTAGCATCATAGAACCCAATGTATCCATCAATCAAAACTGCACCCCCCAACCGAACGCCGGTGCATCCGTGAGGCACAGCAAAGACCCGGTGAAGGTGCGATACAGGTCGAGTGGCGCGCCCAGCGCACCGGCAAAATCCCATCATAAGGGACCGGTGTTAGCTGGGAGGGATTGGGATGGGGCCAACCCTAATGACAGGCACATGCACTTAGGGGCAGGGAATCTGGCCACAACGGCCCATCAAGCAACCCTTGGCCGCCCAGTCGAACGGCCAATCGACCAGTCCCATGCAGTCTTTGCGGTGTCGAACCTTGAACGACTCCAGCAAAGGCACCTGGACCTGAAACAGGGGTGTCCAATGGAGGCCCCTTAGTACTGTAGGGGCTTCCAGTCAGTGACCCTGACATGAAGGTGCTGGCATGTAAATGGTGGTTTCAGAGCCACGACGTCTGAGACTTATGTGCCCCCCCTGGCCACACCTAGATGGCATACTCAGCTTTTCTTCAAAAAACGCTGAACCATGTTCTGACTAAAAGTCAGGCTTACCATGGGTTTCCAATGTGCCTCTCCTGGCCACACCTAGATGGCATATTCAGCTTTTCTTCAAAAAAACGTTCTGACTATAAGTCAGGCTCTCCATGGGTGTCCAATGTGCCCCCGCCCTGGCCACACCTAGATGGCATACGCGATGAGCTCTTGTGGTTTAGGCCACTTCCATTCCATCTACCCCGCACAACAGAAATGTGAAACATGTAGATGGCATGAGCTGCAAATAGAGCTCAAACGCATTACAAGAAGGAGAAGAATACTAGGTGGAATAGTAAATTGTCTTCATTGTGGAGGGAGAAAAGGGTGAAGAGGGAGAACAGAATATAATTGCCGGTTAAGCAATCTTTTTCAGAACCCAATCACTATGAGATGAGTTGGCTAAACTTTTGTTTCCCGAATGCGTAGCGAAGGGTTCCCGTTTATAGTTTGGGGTCTGGGGGTTGGACCTGTGTTTGCATGGCCTGCGTCGTGTCGTCGTCTCTCGTCGTTTGTCGTCGTCTCTCGTCGTCGTGTCGTCGTCGTCGCGTCTCAAATTTGCTGCCATTGGGGGAAGCTTTTGCAAGTGACTTTGCATGGATGTGTCACGTGTCAGTTTGCGCCGCTATTCCATTGTGATTTGCATGACACCGACATGTCGCGCAAGAAACGTGATGCATTTCGCTGCACAGGCGCAGCGTTTTGTGAGATCCGCAGTTTGCTGCGCAGCGCCATTGGGATTAGCGTTTGGAGAGTCGTGTTTTTGGGGTGTTGGATGTGGCCGTGCCATTGGGATTTGCGTTTCAGGGTGTGGCATCGAAGCTCTGTTTTCGTGACAAGTCTCAGCTGAAATGGCGATTTTGGAGGATGGGAGTGTGCTCTGAACGGGTCGAAATCATTCCAAACGTGTGGTGTGGTGCAAATTCTGTAGCTCACATGCGATGATATTGTCACTTTTCGTGGCAGGCGCAGGACTTCGTGCGGGTTTTGAAGCGTGGAAGTGCGATTCTCGTGGCAGGCGCAGGGAATCGTGAGGCTGCGAGGTGTGAGGGAGGTGACATTTCGTGGCAGGCGCAGTACTTTGTGCGCGTCAGACGTGTGGATGCCACAAAGATTCGTGGCAGGCGCAGGGAATCGTGAGGTTGTGAGTTGTGGTAGAGGTGAATGTCGCTGTCACATTGGGATTGGCGTGTGAGCGGATGTTGTTTGGAGGGGCTGGAATCGCGAAACTGCTTGGCAGGGCTGCGTGATGTGTGTGCTTTGATGGGTGTTTCCGCTTGACTTTTGGAGGAAGTCTCGTACGAAACGCTCGTTTTGCTGACTTTGCCGTGTGGGTTTTTGAGGAAGTCTCGTACAAAACGCTCGTTTTGGAGACTTGACGCGCAACCCTCTGCGGAGATCGTGCGTGTCGAGTGTGCAAAATGCACGCGAGAGTGCGATTTGTCCCATGCGCGCGCAACCCTTTGCGGAGATCGCGCGTGTCGAGAACGCGAAATGCAGGCGAAAGCGCGATTTGTCCCATGCGCGCGCAACCCTCTGCGGAGATCGTGCGTGTCGAGTGCGCGAAATGCAGGCAAGAGTGTCCTACAGGAGTATCCCACAAGAGTGTCCTACAAGAGTGTCCCACAAGAGTGTCCCACAAGAGTGTCCCACAAGAGTGTCCTACAAGACTGTCCCACAACAGTGTCCCACTAGAGT